AATGTTTAAAGTATCAAATTGAATTTTTGTTCAATAAAAATCTTTCTGTGACTGTAGCTTTTTTTTCCCCAAAACTTCATCTTCAAAATAAGGGTGTGTCTTATATTCCAAAAAATATGGTAAGTATACTCAACTATATTTCCAACTCTGAAAAAAATTCATTATTTCAACAGTCAAACCATTACTTGTCTTTACTTTAAAAAATTATCAGTATAGTCTTTTATCTTTTATTTATCTAACACAAAGCCAATTTCTCTACAGATTAATATAGAATATGATTACTAAAACTAAAAGTTTGGGTTAAAAATTAAAATAATTTTACCTCCATTCTCATAGTTCGTTTTAAATTGTATGTCCTAAACAAACTGATCTTTTCACTTCTTTAATGTTTGAGATATAATATGGAATTTACCTTTCATGTAAATTTATGGCATGGGGCACTTTACGAAGAAATTCTTTGAACCTCAGATCAAACGCTTGACCTATAGTTGTAATGACTTCCTGTGCTAAACCACCACCACACTCAAGTACAAAACATGCTCGGCCATAACACGGATCTTTAGCAACATAGGCAAAGAAATCTAATGCATCCTAGGAATAAGAAACAAGGTTAAGCCACTAATATCAAATTACTTATTTCTGGTGTTTCAAAAACCTAATATACAAATACATGAATTCAAATTTTTAAGGAACTAGAAGAAAGTAATAGATTATAATATACTAATTTATAAAAGCTAATATTCTCAGGTAATCAGGAAATTAAAAAGGAAAACATACATGGTCCATAGGGTGTTTCCAACATCTTTATTACTTTAAATAACATTTATTACAAAATGTGATTCTAAATAAACTATAATAAACTTTATTTACTCTTACAAAAGTTCCATTTAATCAGTCAAACACAGTAAATAAAATATATTTTATGATTTGATATAAATTTCATTCAAGGGTAGGCAAGATTAGTTTTTGTTTTCAGATTCTGCACACTTATCATTACAAACTTTAGGATTTTATTCCTCTCCTTCCCCCATGCCCGAGTTTTACTAGTGTACAGTTAATCACAGATTATGCACCTGTAAAAATATTTGTGCAGTTGAAAATTCACCTATATAAGTAAATTCAATGGATAAATATTAAAAAAACACATTTAAGATTATAAAATTCCATCCCAGATTTGATAAATAAATGTGTTTACTAGAATATTCTTCATTATTTGGATCATTTCTTACTAGGCCTGTATATATCAAGTACAATAAGGCATCACGTATTAAAAAATTATGAAAATATAATTGTGCAGTTGAAAAACATCCTTAGGAAAAGCTCTGCCCTCATTAGACATTCTTTACTATATGTGGCACCTCTGTTATTTTCCTCACATTTGAAAATGGTGGTAATTAGCTCATTAAAATACATTTTTTTATTAATTGAAAACAACAAGAATGTATTTGTTAAGTTTAAAAATTCCACCCATCATGACTATAGTATTTAAATGCCTTTTCAATCTTACTTTCAGGCATGGCATGAGAAAAAACTTTTTATTCTCTTTTTAGCCAAAATATATCAGAATAGGATTCCATTGGTACTATTTTTAGTATTCCGGTCTTTAAACTACCTATATCTTTTTATTCCTATTTATTTCAGTTTCAAAGAAGTTGGAATCCAATTTGTGAAAAAAATTTTATATGTAATACAGTGAAACCCCGATTTTACACGCCCCGATTTAATGCAAATTTGGATATAACGCGATGGATCATTAACTCTTTCGACACGGGCTCAGTCCCTGGGACTGACCTCTATATAGTTTACATTCTAATAACTTTTAATATTTTAAGTGTATCTTTACAAAAATTTGTAGACTTATAGTATACATTAGAAGCCTTTTGCCCACAAAAAAATCAGGTTTTTTAACAAAGTACTTTTACTTAAATTTGTCGGTGAAAATATAGATTCTTTATATTTTAACTAGTCTGAGTGCAAAGTGATTTTTATGTCAAAATGAAAAATGCTTTTCGTCATCTAAAAAATCTCAACTTTCCTTTGTGTAATCCCTAAAGCCTTCTAAATGCATTCCATTTTAATTATATCTCATTGCAAATCATCTAAATATTATGTGTTACTCCATATGTATGTTTATTTGAAGACCATACATTCATAATTCTTTTTCAAGCAACAAGATTTATTTTATTTGCAATAAAAATCTAAGCAAATTATTCATGCAGAATGAAGAATAACAAAACACAAAATGGACCAATCATAATATCCGACTTAATACAGAAACCTGAAGTTAAAACATATGGATCATAGTATTAAAGCCTTTACATAACTCACACATTGAGTTTCTCTTTCATTCCTTCCCAGTAAAATATTTTGAAACACAAATTGGCAACATAGTTCCATACATTATATATTATCATCTTAAGCACAATACTATGCACAAGTTAGAATAAACATATTTCTTCTTCATTACTTCAGTAACCTAAAAATCCGTTTGTGTTAATTAATCCCATACATTAGGTAAATCTGAAACATGATATTTTCATTAAATTGTTTTACAATACTGTTGTACAGAAATCTAATTTTGTAAGATTGTTATAATCACATTCAAGTTGTAAAAAAGCAGATATATATGTATATACTATTTTACAAAAGTTAAATGTATATTTCTTGTCAACTTACAGCATCTCCTCCTGATGCAAACGAAATGTTTGGCATTTCATGGTTTACCATAATCTGCAAGTATAAAATTTTGTCATTTTAAGTTAAATTTTTGAGGGTTTGTTTTTGGAATATTATAACAACATATTCTAATATTCAGAAAAAGTATATTAATTTGTCTCTTTGTAAGTAACTTTTATGAATTTTTTTTAACTTTGATTTGATTAACCAGGAATTTTCATTCTCAAGTTTTCATACATTAAGAATGCTTATGATAGTCTTTCTAACATGTAAAAACATAAAATGCAATGCTTTTAGGTAATAATGTGTTGGTTTGTTATATGTTAATAACTATGTTACATAAAGATTGAAAAACAAAAATATATAACTCATTACATAACTAGTTCAAAGTATATGTATAGCTATACACATTTGAAATTCAAATATATTAAAACATTTCAATATACCTAAAAATAGAACGAGCATAATGAAAACAGAAACACTTTAAGACACTTTTAAACTACTAACCTCTCCTGATTCCATGACTACCAAACTGAGGTATGAACTGGTGATTGTAAGGTTGACATTTATTCCAGCATAATCTATGTTTGGTTTCTCTGCTAACATCTGGCTTATTCGTTTATCAACCTATTTGAAATTTCATAGACATGAAAATGCTAACATTCTGCTTGCTCATTTCCCAACCTGTTCTAAAACTTCACAGACATTAAAATGCTAAAGTCCTGTAAATCAATTCATGTACATATTTTTTAAAGATTAATCACTAGCTATTGAAGTTAAAAATCAAAATACATTTGTTCAATTAAAGCAACAATACCTGTATACAGACATCCATAATGAATACCATTCTGTTTATTCAAGCTTCTATATAGTTTATGATCCTCCAAGTTTTTCTTTTAACATCTTAAGCTACATGTTTACCACATCTATATTCTCTCACTAACAAGACCCATCTTTCAGCCAAACCTTAGAGCCTTGGATGGCTACTAGCTAGTCCTAGATTAGAATCTGGTATTGCTTGTATTCCAAAATGAGCACTCAACTGAGTGAAAAGGTAACTCCCTAACTGCTTAGTATGGTAACTTTGAACAACTCAAACTATCTGATTACCATGATTTGAAGATTAAAACATACTTTATATCAAAATGCTAATACCTGAAACTTGCCTAGTATTTTACAGATTGAACATGTTAGATAAGAAAAGTTTAGTATCTTGTAGACCCACTTAATCATATTTTTAAAGCAAAAAACACATGAAATATTGAACTAATTTATCCTACAGATTCATTGATCTACCAGTTTTAAAAACACTCATTTACCTTACAGATTCATTGATCTACCAGTTTTAAAGATCACTCATTTATACTACACATTCATTGATCTACCAGTTTTAAAGATCACTCATTTACCCTACAGATTCATTGATCTACCAGTTTTAAAAATCAGTCATTTATCCTACAGGTTCATTGATCTACCAGTTTTAAAGATTAAAGAAACTGAACATCAGAACTATCACCTTGTCAACCTCTTACATACCATATTTTTCAGTGTATAAGACACACATTTTACCCCAAAATTTGATGTCAAAATCTGCTTGTGTCCTATACACCAAAGGTATGAATAATATATATGTATATATACGATATACACAAGCCATGTGTAAATATATTTAAATAGGCATGCATAGTTTAGTTCAATTGAATGTGTTATTTATGACAATAGTAGTTTTTTTTTTCTTTTAAAAATATAACTATTTATAATGCTCCCTAAATAATAAAAGAATAAATTATAGTAATGGATGAGAGTGAAAAAGCTTGTAAATACACGATGATCCCTGTTTAATGTGGAGCAGAATAAGGCCGTTACAGGCCTAACTTTAACAAATGAAAAATCGTTTTTGAGTGCTTGCCTTGGATTCAAATGAGCTCTTTTGTGTTTAGAACAATATATACTAATTTTTAATGTATCAAATTGAAGTTTTGTTCAATAAAAATCTTTCAAATGCAACTGTAGCTTTTTTTCCCCAAAAACTTTGTCTTCAAAATAAGGGTGCATCTTATATTCCGAAAAATACGGTACTTGCTATAAGTATAAAACATTCTACATGTAAATGCTAACAATTATGAACTTTTCTATCCAGCTTATGTAAATTATCAGTAATATCTGAATATAAAGTGGCTCTACTATTAAAGTGAATTACTTCAGTATTTTTTATTCTAAATGTATTGGTAGAAATAGAAAGCAATAAATGCTATTTTATATCTATGTTATTTATTCATGCCTAATTTAAAACACAAATCAGTAAAACTGAAAGTATAAGCCAAGCATTTTAAATTGTAGCTTTGGTAAATCTTTTATTGTAAATTTATATATACAGACACACAACACTTCAGGTAGCAAGCCTTGAATATGAAGCTCTTCCAGTTGAACAAAATGGCACTATGAATTAAACAGGTCATAAAGTAGGGATAATTTCTACCTTTCTCTTTATGAAAACAAAGAAATTATAAAGCACACGGGAAATATAGCTGTATTTAAAAATATTGAAGCAACAAAACTAAAGAAAACGTACTGAAATAACACAGTCTTTATACAAGGTGCCTAAGAGTACAGCATTTTAACCAATAACTGCTCATTGTATTTTTAATGTACAGTGAAACGAAACTTTGAATGAAAACTTAAATGTTTTTTGTTTTTTTTTTTTTGTTACATTAAAGTACTACAGGTAACAAATCCAAACCAATGTGAAAGTCAAACATTTCTAAATTAATTTAGATTCATGCAACCCCAAATGTATATAGTACAAACTATAAGTATGTATTATATCAGTTATTTTTAAAAAAATTGTGTTTAATGTTAGCTTTACAGCAGATTTGTGCCTGGCTTCCCATATGAAACTATCCTAGTGTCAAAATGATTGAGTTACATATAATTTATTTTGTAATAGCCAACACACCTACAATAATGAGTTGGATACAGTTTTAATGTACAAGTCTATTGCTAAACCACACAAACATCATAAAGTTTAATATTTTATATATACATAACTTATATAAAATATTTTAAAAAATTATATAAAAAGGAATTATTATGAGCTTACTTTTCCCTTCTTGTTGTTTATTTTGAGACCAGCAGCTTCACAAACCCTGTTTATACATTCCCTAAAATAAAGAAAAGGGAGGCATTCTGTACAGTTTCAGCACATAATTAGTATCTTGTTTAATCATTCTATTGTAAAAACAAACTCAGTATGGTACATAAGCCTCATCAAAAACATAAGCTCTTGTGATAAAATTAATACAGAAATATTTCTAATGAATAAAAACGTATTTCATACTGGAAAATACATCTTTAAGAATTTCAAAACATACAAAAATAAAGATTACTTTTCTGTGGAAAAGCAAAAACCCAAATGTGTCATATTGAACATAAAAAGTACACATAAAAAATAATGAATGAAAGTTCTAACACGTTATAAGCTGAAATTAATTCTAGCAAGGTTTAGGGAATAAGTTCTTACAGAAAATGTAAATTCATTGCAAAAAAAAGTTTTGATTATATAAAATATGGTTTATTTATGTATGCTTTTCTCTTTTCATACATGGTATTTTCATAATAATTATTTTTATCAAAAGCATCCATTTACTAACAGTTAAGCACGATATATAATAATGTTATTATCATATACAGTTATTTTTATAGACAACAATCAGTTCATAGCATTAACTGTCAATAAACAAAATGTTTCAGAAAAAGAATTTACTTAGTCACTACCATAGTCCATGTTTATAGCATATAAATGTGAACAAACATAAATAAAGGATAAACATTTTTTAGTTTCCAAACTGAAAAAGTGTTTTAAGAATAGTGTTTTACATATTTTTTCTGAAGAAATTAATACTGGGCATTAACAAATTTCAAACTGAAGGTTTAAGTTTTAGCCAACAATGTAACTGCATCTCAAGTCTCAGCCTTCTCGTCATTGGATTTTGAACAATATATAATGACTGCTATAGATAAAGAGTCCTGTCAAATACTGCAATTAATACTGATGAAGTAAAGACTGAGACCAGTGGTGTTTGGGATATGTTAACTTAGTTGTCTCCCTGGACAATGAAGTCAAAATTTCCTAGGTTTTTGGGTTAGTGTGCCAATCTTAATATTTCGATAGCTGTTATATTACACATGCTGTTCTTCACTATAAGTACATTCAATTTACAACTTAAAATATGTATTAATAAAGGTACAAACAAATCTGTGGAACAGGATTTTTCAAATCCTAAATGTTTTCGTACTTAACAGTGAGAATATTGGACTAGAGGACACAAATATAAATTTTGGCAGAGTAGGAGTCGTCATCAGCTATGACAGTTTTATTTTTCTAACAGGGTGGTTGGCCTTTGAAAGGGGTTACCTTTGTATGTTGTGAAGGCAGTAAATTTAAGTGAGCTTAAGAGTAAGCTTGATAAGTATATGAATGATGATGGCTGGCTTTAAGATATTTATTTATTTATTAATAGTTTTACTTTAGTTTATGGGATGGACTAGCCAAAATGGTCCCATAGGCCCCATTTTGTCCCAAAATGTTATGTTATGTTAAAATAATTCGTTGGTTCTACATTTTACAGATCTATGAATGTTTTGACTAACCATAGTTGATGCTGTGCAATATATAAAGTATTATGCAAAAAATTAACCTAATATTCTCACACACACATCAAACTGACTGGTTAAAAAGTTAATAAACCTATGAACATGCAATAAGTTCACATTATAGCCACAACTAATTTGAAAAAAAATGTATTGTAATATGATTAGTTAAGTAAATAATGATACTGTAGTATATACAATACAATGAATGCAATACCATATACACAAAAAAATCAAAACTATACACAAAATTACTAGCTGAATACAATGCTGAAAATGTAATATTAAATTGCCAGTTAGTTCACTTACTTAGCTATCTGTGACCTGGTGTCAAAATCTAAGCTCTTCATAGATGTCTTCACCTCAAGGTAACCAATATACTGAAAAAAAAATTATGTTTGTAGTTTGAAATAGTGAGAAACAGTTGGAGTTGTTTTACAATAATCATATTTAGTTCATCTTGTAATTCAGAAAAACTCTGTGAACCCCATGCAAAATGTAAATTAATATCTAAGGAATCCTTTAAGTATACTGACATGCAAACAATAGTAACCAAACTGCTTTCTATGTAACAAGATTGCATCACAAACAAAGTGGAAGAGAGGTCTACTGAGTATTCTTTAGGCTATATTACTGATTGTAAAGTTTTTCAAATGAACAACAACCATGTTAATAAAACTTTCAATCACTCTAGCAAATATATAATAAAAGTAATGTGCTTTATTTTTAAGTAGAAGATATTAAAACAGTTTTAATCTGCTCTAACACACAGATGTTTTTTCTGTACTTTGAAATGACTTCTCAGTTTAAAGCTCAAAAATTCATTTTATTCAGTATACCCTCATAATCAAAACATTTGCTAGAATGCAAGTGTTTGAAATTTCATAAAGGAAATTAATTACTGGCCACATTTTAATATGATTTATATTTTCATCATCATTTAAGTTTACAGCCATAAAAAATAAAATTTGTTTAAATCTAAAGAGCTTCTTAAACTAGAAATAACAGAAAATCATTGGAAATGTATATTCATCATTGAAGAAATAATGTGCAGTTACAATAAACATGTGTAACTATTTCTATTACAGTGAAATTATTGTATGGATGAATGTTTTTACTGGTTAATAAAGCACAATCTTCTGGCACACAATCAACATCTGTGGTATATGACCAGCTATTAGGTGTAAGTGTCAATAAGCAAGAATCTATTCATATTAACAAAGAAAACAATGTAACATTAACATACCTTTTGTTGCTTCCAATCTTTATTAATTAAGATTGAACTTTTAATTTGAAGTTACCTAAAATTTTCTATGTATACAAAGTTCAACAACACCCATTCAATGATATTAGTAACAGCAATTTACATCTTTTCTTTTAACACAAATGTTAGCCATATATGTTGATTAATAATTTTCTTTGTTTTCCATTACAAAAACAGCATAGAGTATCTGAAGGGGCATTGGTATAAGAAAACTTTGTACACTAATGTGAATTATATCTTACTTTTTAAATACACAAAAGGTTACATTAAACATTAAAAGTATATCTGTTTCATAACTATCAGAATAAATATTATCTATGATATCATTCAGTGCCCTAGTATTAGAAAATAAAGATAAAATTATTTTTTTTTACCATGCAGTCCCAAACTGGCTTTACATCAATTAAGCTTAGAAGTAATATTTGTCTTACCAGCAACTCATAGACATGTCTAAAGTAGTAATACTTTTGCATTTAGAATTTTTGTGGACAGGCATGTACATTTTACTAAAAGCTTGTCAAGTTTTGTGTAGATACATAATAAATTTGGAATAATGGTCAATATTCCTTCTTCAATACAGCCAACTCCATGCATATTCAGTTAAGGCTTAACTTGCAAATATATTTATTATTTTAATTTAATAAAAATAGGTCTGAAATAAAAATTCAAATCAGGCAAAAAAACAGCACTGTTTCGTGTTTGGGTGAGATCCTGTATAAATGAACTGTACAAAAATTGTGCTAAATTTTCTCTTAGGAAGCCTAATTAGATGAAACTTTTATATTAATGTATACCATAAAACTAGTTTAGTTCTAGCTTCTCGTGTTTAAATGGAAAGGTATGAGACAGTAACTTACTTCCTTAAAACTTAATCTTCTCATACAATTCATTCTAATTACATGCATACAAGTATACCCTGTAGCTAAACTCTGCTGTAACTTAGTAATTAAAATTGAATTAAAGTTTTCTTGACATACTGATAACCTGCCGTTACAGTGAAATGAGATGATATGTTAAAAAAGTGGAAAAATATCAAGGTTTCATTAAAGATAATTTTGGTACTGAAAATCCTTTCATGAAATTTATGCCTAAAGTTTTTACACACAAATATATTACCAGATTTTATTTACGTTTTTTTTTTTCTTTCAAGTTCTAAAAGAGCAAATTTCAAAAGATCTTATTTTATATTTATCTTGCTTTATTTCTTCAAAGTTCAAATATAGTTTTAAAATTGTTACAGAAAATGTTGTAAACAGTGCTTGAAGTGGGGAAAAGAAGAGGGATGGTTTGTGAAATTTATTTCTTGTTTTTCTTGAGCAGTGTTCCCTCTAAGCTGCATGGTTGCGTAATAACCAATCAAGTGCCAGGCACTTCATTATTCCAGCCGTGCACATCCTTAATGACCCTTGCAGTTGATAGGCCTAAAGCCCAAATAATCATCTGGTAGCATTGCAAAGCAGCCTAATAATCCAATAAGGTTGATAGTCTAAAAATATGACCTCTCTAAAAAAACTGGTAGTGCACATCTGCACATTGCCTTGGTGCACATGAAATAATTCATTGTGCACATGGATTGAAAAAATTAGAGGGAAGATTGTTCATCAATATTTTTTATTTATTATTATTATAAAAGTAACTAAAATGTAAAAATTAGAAAATTATTAAATTAGATAAGGTTAGATTAGGTGAGGTAATGAAAAAGAATAATAGTAATAATTCTTCATGAGGTATACTCATGAGTAGCTCATGCCTCATGATACTGTAATGTGAGCTGCATGTTCACTAACTGATTTAAAACTTATGCAGTGTAATTATTAGTTAGACATGGTTCAAAGAGCAATAAAACAATAAAGTTAAATATAAACACATGTATACTGCTATGAATTACTGTATAAAAACTCTGATGGTTACTTCATGGTTATGAACTTAGTCACACAAACAGTTCTAATGGAGCCCATAGTGAGAGGGTTCATTCACTCCATCCAGTGTACTACTTTGTCTCATTTCTGCCTTGCTCTTACATAACATTTTAAGAAGAAAAAAAATACAGTTTCTCTCCCCAGTCCCTTGCTGCTGTAAATGTTTACTGCATCATATATTAAACATTTCCCTTCTGAGAAGCTTACAGTCTACTAAAAGGTAGCAGGATGGTTTTGGGCCCTCCTTAAAAGAAGTGGGACAGTTTCACTCCTCATCCTGCCCAACTTCAAGTACTGGTTGTAAAGAATCTTTGTTATCAAGTTTCCATACTACTAACCTAAATCTTACTTAAAAAAATAAACTTTGATTTTATTTTTCCATGATACCTTCTCAATCAACTACTATTAAATATTTTATCACCATTTCCAGGTAATGTGTACAAATTTGATTCTTAGATATAACTAATTTCAAGTCTGACAAAATTATAAGAACAGTTGATTAGATAAATATTGGATGCATCCATTTTTTTGCTGTCAGATATGCAAAAAAAAGCAAATCAAACAAAATTATTTATATTTCAGTACATTTTCTCATAAAGTATACTATAATGAAATCATAATGAAAATCTATAATTAGCATACAGATAGAAGCTTACACTAAATGAATTATTTTCCACAAAAAACTCTTAGTTTAAACTAACAATGGGTTACACTAATATCAAAGTATAAATAATTCTAATTATTAATTTACATCAAGAAACCCTGTGTTAATACTTAATTCCAACTTGAGTGGTGCTCTTTTGATATTTTTAAGGTAAATCTTTTGCCCTCCAGAAAATATCACTATATGGTCATGAATTAAGTTCTTTTAAAATTTGTCCTGTCATATAAACATCTCTTTGAAATTGTATATTGCAAGGAGTAAGACCAAAAGTTGGAGAGAACTATCTATTTAATTCAAATTTTCAATGCTTCAAAGAGCAATGTTTATAAAGGTCAAATGTTCCACAGTAAGAGAAACTCCACAAACAAATATATTAGCATAGATTTTTGGCATACATGTATATATACAAATGTGGGGTGTTTAAAAATGTCCAATAAAAGTCACTCCCCAGTGGCACAGCGGTATTTCTGTGGACTCACAACGCTATAAACCGGGTTTCGATACCCATGGTGGGCAGAGCACAGATAGCCCATTGTGAAGCTTTGTGCTTAACTTCAAACAAACAAACCAATAAAAGTCCTAGTTATATCTAACAATTAACAGAGAAAATACTATAAAATAAATGTAAAATAATAATGAAGAAGTTTGTGCATAATGCAAGATCTTCATATTGAAAAAAATATATCCTTGAAAATATTAACAGTAATTGGTAACTCAATCAATTCATGGACTTATTGTTTATAGCATCCTGACTTACGAAAATTCATCAACTCAATAATATTGTTAACTGCCAATAATCATGAATTTCTTGCTTTATTACAATATCCTAAGTTTACCACAAATCGTCCTTAACAAATGTTTAGATTACAGTTTTCTGCCACTGACGAAAAAAATTAACTTGTTGAAATATAATTGAATTGCTCTAATCTTGTAAAAAATACTAACAGTAACAGCAGTATTTATTATAGGCAATGATGGATACATTATTTATAGTGCAATATCACAACCTTAACAAAAATCTTTATATGATTAATTTTCTTTTTCTTAATTTCACGTATATTATTTTACATTGTTTAATTCTTCCAATGTATTCAGAGGATAATTTAAGTTATAATTCTGAACACCAATCCATACTAATAATAATAAAACAGCCTGTGTGTTTGCATGTCAAGTCAGTCAGCGCCATAGATCCAAGAGAAAAGAACCTACAGAAACTTTGCAGAGATACTAAGGGATTCTGTGTACCTGGGTATTATTTTTACTATACACTGACTTTTCTCTACGTTAAAATTCTTTTTTTCTTTACGAGCTTTCGACCCTCTTATCTAAGCCTCCATCGAGCAACAACATGCTGGGCAATAAAACTCTGTTTAAAAATAGGTATCTAGGCAACAGTTGTAACAGTAACTGACATCTGGTATTAAAGTCATTAAATACATACAATTGTGATGAATCTAGATACATATAATAGTACCGTCTGTTGTATGTCCATGTAACTACTTCGCATAGTGTAGATGGATCTTCACCAAAATT